CCCCCTCGGTATCCAAGCAGTGACTCTCACCATTCTGCAGCTGCTTCCATCTTTTAGGATGAATTTGCAGGTTTCGGAGGTTGGCAATACTGCAACTAAAAGTTTTGTCGTTTAGGCCCAGGTAGAACACTGGTGAGCACAAGGCTTAAGCGTATTTTCTTTAAATAAAAAATGAGAGCATTCTCTCAAACTGGAAAAGGGATCAAAAACCTCGAACTTTTGTTTAAGCAGACAAAATTTGTATGAAAAATACTTTAGCATTCAGAGTTTTCTTGTTTTTTTTTTTCGGTTCAAGGGAGTCGCCTTAATATAAATAAATATAACACATACTGCATTTGTGTGTTGTTTTTTTTAATACATATATTTTTTATCAAATATTTTATTCGCAATTTAACTTAAAATTACGGTTTCAGAATACACTTATTTTTTTTTTTAACAATACACTCCATTTTTAAAGGAATTTAGGCATTGTTATGAAGACCAGACGTTAAGTATTCGTAAGTTTCTATATGTATGTAAGATATTTATGTATATAAATTTTATACGGCTACATTTAAAAACTACAAAAGTGCAGCTAATATCGACATTGGAATTTTCATAAGTTACTATGCCTCGCCATATCTCCTCCATTGGTCAAGAAAAAATTGGGCAACTGTTAGAGCATTCCATGCTATAAAACTGCATACACAGCGCAACTAAGTGCTAATCACACAGTTAGCCAAATATCTAAAAACAGACTACGTATTTAAGCATATACTTATGTATGTATGTATGTATGTATGTATGTAAATAACCTTGTTTAATGTGCCTGGCACAGTGATTAAGCAGCAGTGTAGGCGAGATCCTCTTGGGGAGGATGCTTGTGCGTGCGACGATTGCGCATTACATACGGATGGGTGGCGCTATTCTCATAGCTGGAGAGATATGGCAGAGATAGCAGCTTTTCAGGATACTTTTGCAGCAAATACACCCAACAGGGAACCGTGCTGCAAATAATAATTTAAATAAAAGAAAGTTAAAAATTATAAGTTCTTTTTTTTTTAAACTCATACGACTTACCCCTCACCCACGCCGATATTCATATCCTGCATATCCCGTGTGAATACATCCTGACAATCCTCCAGGTTATCCAATGATCTCAGCATCTTATCATCAACTTCGTAAATTTCACCCAAAACATAATTACCAACACCGGGCTTGTTCAACAAGAATGGAATGTTGTAGCGTGTGGCTATCACGAGCGGCAGTTTCTCCGTGGTTGTGGCGCGACACCAGAATTTCGCATAACCATTGCCGGAGTTGGCGAGTATGGAATGACTAGGTTGGCCATATTTCAAGGCGCCGCAAACGAAGAGTTTTTGTAGAGAAGAGGCTGCTTTCTAAAGAAGGAGAATAACAATTTGTATGTTAATAAAAATACATATATGTATATAAGTAATGATGGCAAATTTTTTAGTGTACATATATGTACATAGGTATAGCAACTAAAATCGCTTAAATTTTGTGTTTTCTTTTTCTGTACAGAAAAAAAAGACTTTAGTTGTTTACCTCCATTCAATCGGGACTTCACAATGTTTATCAATGTTTAAAGATATATATTTCAAGTTATATTTATACAGATAAATGGGAACAAATGGTCATATCTGGCTGAACTGTGCATGTTCATATATAGAGAAAGGATTTTATTCGTTTTATAAAAGCCAATGCGACAAAAAAAAAACTTCTAAAAATTTCTTAGCCACTTGAGACTTGCTGGTTATCAGACTAATATTGAATGGGCTATAAAGCTGTGTACATACTTAAAAATAATGTTAACTCTTCTGAGAAAAAAGTCTAAAATTTTGGTGAATTTTTTTGCATTTTTTTGTAGTTATTTTAAAAAGTTTAAAACTTAGATTTATATTGATTTTGTTAGAGAATGGACTTTATTTTAATTAAAAATTCTTAAAAATAAACTTAAGTGGCCAACAACGACACTATATAGATATGACGCTATAGATAAGACTAAGCGTAAGCTTAATCTTAATTTCAAGCTTAAGCCTAGTGTTCGTCTTAATTTAAATCTTATTATTGACCTTATTCTGAATCTTAGTCCTAATCTTAATTTAAGTCTTAATCTTACATGCCTATTGCGAGTGTCGACTAGTAGTAGATAAACGACTTGTATTCGATTATCAATTATGCATGGTATTTTCAATGTCGTTTTTTCGTTAAATAAGCGAGTGTGAATTCTTTCTAGTCGCTCATCCTTCTACAAACAAAGTGTTTTAGAAGAGTGAACGACGAAAAACTGTTCACAGTCGCTTATTGAACTTTTGCTTTTATGTGATTTATCGAAGATTTCGTATTTATCTAAACTACCGCTATCTATGAAGTGGGCGTGGTTATTAATTTTAAAAATTTTCAGCCGTTTGGTATGTTGTACCAAGGTCAGCGATTGTGCCAAGTTTGGGAGAAATTGATGAAGCGGCTACGTCCATTTTTAAAAAATTTATAATATTCTTATTTTTCTCTTAAAAATCATGGTAAATATCAATTTTAAGTGAATAAGCTTCGCAGTTTGGGTATTATTGTCAAATTTCGCCCATTTTCAATACCATCCGTCCATGAAAGTTGACCAGTTACTCTAGGTACAATAATCCTATGAGCCTCTAGGGATGGGTGATACCGAGCAGCTGTAAATCTCAAATGACCAGCGCCACCATTACGGAAGTTAGTGAATTCCCGTATGCAATCAATGACGAGTGCATCCACTTTGCAATTTTTCGAAAATAGTCGCAATGTGTGCAATTTGAAACTACTTAGACTTGACTGATTGGCCCCTATGCAAATGACGTGTGCTTGTCAAACTAAAGTTAAATATAAAATGTTGTCATACTGATTTTCACTTCACTATCTCTAATTGCATTTGGCGTGAAAATTCTAACCAGACGCTGTTTGTTCACAAGCGGAAAGTAAATAAGTATGCACATACATACATTTGCGTGTATGTTAGCAAATGTAAATTTATTTAATAGCATTTTGTTTGTGAAATGTCTAAGCTATTCTATAGTTAAGTCTAATAGGTTATTCATTCTAAATATACAAAATTCAAATTAAATTGAATAAAATGCAATGACCGGCGCTTATTGCAAAAGATTAATTATATATACGTATGTATGTATATACACGTGTAAGTACATATATTTGTACATATGCATGTATACTTATATGAAGTATTAATGCACTAAGTTAAAAAAAAAAAATTTTCGAAATTCAATGAGTTTAATGGAAAGTCAAGTGTCATGCATTGTATATATGTTCATAGTATGAATGTACTTATGTATGTATGTATATTCAAGTAAGCGGGTAATCAAAATTGCGGCTAATTATGACGAGCCGCACATTTCTAGAAGATAATGAGATGTAATGCATCTTATCAATAATTGCCTTGCATATATATGTATATCTATGTAACTGCTCTTTGTGAATGACAAGTAAATTATTTGTCAAATAAAAATAATATAAGGTCTTCAAAAGAAACGCTAATCCATTTTTAAATGACTATGCAGAAATATGTACACTGACGGAAAAAAGTTTTGGCACAGCGAATTTTGCACAGGTTTCCATTCCAATATTTTTCCGCAATTTTTTTTATAAAAATATGATTCATTCTACAACAAAAACCACAAAAACATAATTTCTAAACTTTGTGCAATACTCGCGAAAATTCAATAAATTTTAATGCAAATTTTCAACTTGTTAATTAAATTTTTTCGAATTTTCTTGAGGATGCAATTTTGTAGCCCATTATATTCTAGTATACAAAATGGAAGCTCAGAGTTAGTCAAAAATGGCATTGATTTTTGAGGATTTTTTTTTTGAAGGTGTTTTGCATTTTTAACCGACTTCACGAAAAGGATGAAGGTTATAAATTCGTCCGAATATTTTTTTATTTATTATTATTTTTTTTTCTATGTACCTCTATTTAGTTGTATTTTGTTTGAATAAAGTAGAACTGTGTTAACCGCTTTTTTAATTTAATACAACCATATATTTAAAAAAAAAAAAATGCATATTACATGTATTGCACTGGATAGCTTCGTTTCGTTTTCTTGTTTTTATTAAATAAAATGAAGTGGAAAAAGTGTTCTATTATAGTTCTTAAGTAAATTTAATCCATTTTTGATCCATATTCGAATAAAAAACGTTCAGAAATAAGAATATTACCTTAAAAACAAAGTGTATACGTTTTTATTTTTACCGAATTGATGTGGCCGGAGTGTCAGAATTTCGGCTCTTTTGTGTTGACGATGAGGTTCAGAACACAGGTCAGACAAAGATTTTTTTTTAATTTTAAAGCACCTAAAGTCAAAACGCTTTATAATAAAGAATTCGTCTACCCGGGGCCGTTTAGGATTTATTTGGGAAGTGTAAGGTGTCTTAAGCATTTAGCATTTAATAATTATTCAGTTACTTCTGAAGACTTTAAATAAACTTATCGATTTTAAGGTCTGTATACTTTTTTCGTTAGTTTTATGGTCATGGCTGGACCTTTATCTAATCACCCTCTTATGAATATATCGATTACACACGCGCCATAGAAAATAATTCTACGAGCTTTAGATTTCTGCGCGGACTACTTCGTTATTCGAGTGTCAAGTGGAGCTCTATAAAAAAATACTTACAGTTATTAGACTTTAAGAAAATGAAATACTTACACATATATGTATGTGCCCTGTAGCGAAAACTCAACTAACTATAAATACGCTATATCGACGGCTGAGTGGAAGATCGACCTATCTCCGCTGCCAGTTCGAAAACGCCCTATCTCAGAAAATTTTTCAACAACGCTCTATCTAATAAAACTTTTCAAGAACGCCCTACTTCAGAATTTTATTGAAAAACGCCCTATCTCAGAAAACTTTTCAAGAACGCCCTATCTCAGCTGCCGATTCAAAAACGCCCTATTTCAGCTTATTTTCAATGTATTTTCGTTCGAGATAGGGCGTTTTTGAACCGAATTCTCAGATAGGGCGTTATTCAACCAAATTCTGAGATGGGGTGTTTTTCAAAAAAATTCTGAAGTAGGGCGTTCTTGAAAAGTTTTCTGAGACAGGGCGTTGTTGAAAATTTTTCTGAGATAGGGCGTTTTCGAACTGCCTGCCGAGATAGGTCGATCTTCCACTCAGCCAACGATATGTACTTAGGTTTACTATTTTTGTTTTCAGATAACTACAAACTGGTTATTTTTGTAAATAAACTTGAAGTGTTGTCATTAATATAATGCTTTTGGTAATGGCGATTTTTATGCTTCCATCAGATTGTAGGAACATGCAGCTAAAGAACAGAAAGAAACACAATGACACATAATGAAAATTTAGTAATTTTTGTGAAAAAAACTTACACACAGTTTTATGGTTGAACCAGTTAAAAATAGTCGTTATAAATGGGCCAAAAAGTAGCTATTTTCGTAGTCGACTCCGAAATTCCCGACAGGGTATATACTCTCACGCGTACGGTGGCGAAAATATATGTAAATAGGGACACAACATTTTAACAAGTTTTTTTTCCAATTTTTCTTTTGTTTATTTAATGTTTTTTTTTTAATGAAAGTATAGCTCATTATCTAAGAAAACACATTTAATTCCAAATTTCAAACTTAGTATAAAAGTAGAAAAATTCGACAAACGTCAACAAAATTGCATAAAATGTTCAAACTTCTTAATCAGAATTTTTAGAAAAAATGTTTTGTATACTAATTAAGTGCAAGTTTTAAGTACATAGCAACAAAATATCGTTGATTTTTGTCAATTCTTTTTGTTGACGGCGTGATGCATTTTTCTTATATGGAGAAAATGAGCAACACCTTAAAAAAAAAAGCCAAAAATCAAAGGTATTTATACTTCCGCTACTGTTTGCACATTATTTAAGAATGCACATAAAAATGAATTTTTAAATGTATTTACCTTTTTATACCCGAGCGCACTTGTGCACAAGGGTATTATAACTTTGTTCACATAACGGTTGTTTGTAACAGGCAAAACGAATCGAGATAGATATAGACAAATGTATACATAAATGATCAGAATGNGTTTCGCCTTCGCATGCTTACTTAGGTAGTATTAAGTGACGCGCCTCCAATCTTTTGGCAAGCGAGTATGTGTAACTATATTTCCATGCATTTATGTGCTACATATGTGCATGCATTTGTACATACATAGATGTCCAGCAACAAAAAACATAAAAAATCAGTGACAAGAAAACCAGTTATCTTGTAACAACATTTTTCCATTGTCTTCAATGGATCGGATGTGTTTCTCAAAAGCTTAATGAAGCCGACAAAGCTGCAATGTTGCAGTCGTAAACGAAATGCATGAAGTACAATTAGGGTTGTTCATAAATTTAAAAGTATATTTATAAATAAACAAGTATTAAGTAAAAATTGAAGTTGTCGTCAAACTTGCACACCCCACGCTTGTAACAAAAAAGGGAAGCAGTCCGTTTAAACATGCACATCATCAGACTAAAATCGAATGGGCTACAAAACTGCATACTCGACAATCTCTTAGAAATTCAGAATACGAATTTTAAAATTTTGATGAAAAGTTTTTTGAATCTTTGTGAAACTTTGATCTATATGGTTTATACTATAGAATGAACTATATTTTCATAAATAATTAATACAACAAATTTTTCATCAAAATAATTGTGAATATTATGTTAGCACAAGGTGTACACTTTCATTTGTCGCCTAGTGTATATACCTATGTATATATGTACATATGCACTTACAGGTAATGCATTCCTCACCATAAATGGTAATAACTCCGCTATACAGGCAGGTATGCTGTCTGTGTATTCATCAGTTTTAAGGCAGGCTTGTCGTTGGACAGCATGTCAATGGGATATTTTAGCAATGCTAAGAAACTTTCACAGAAAATTAAGAAATAATGCATTGCTGCTAATTTAACGTAGGCTGTCAGTTCCTTTTGAACAAAAATTGGCCTTTCGAATTCGAAATTCGATTTTAAGGGCATGGCATGCTGTTCCCAAGACATTTTTCTGTAAAGTGATTTAGCCGTTAGCAACTTTCAGCAGTACAACGTGATAAAAAGAAAATGAATAAAGATACTATAGATACATATATGTACCTACAACAAACAGATTTTTATATTTATACATATGTATGTATATTTAGTTTAGGTATTCGTAGAGAGGTACCAAGTTTGGAAAGATGCGGACTTTCTGGTTGCATGACCAAGGTAGTTTGTTTTGGCAGAAGTGACTAGTGAAAATCCCAGTTTCGATAACCTCTTGGTTAAGGCGATACACAGTAAGAGGCCTGGATAAGTTTGGAATTGAAATCAATTGTTAAGTCAAACGCAGAAGGATCTGAAAAACTCACGTTATATAAGCGAATATAATTGCCCATATACGGTGCAGAAGTCAAGCCTTTGATCTACCGCTGGCATTGCAAAAGAACTGCAATGACGCCTGCCTTTAAACTTCTTCATTTATGGCCAGTTTCTCAACGCCTGAATAACACTAACCACAAGTTAAACTTCGTTATCGATGTGATCGACTCCATAACGTGTAACAAGGAGTCGATAACGATGTTTAACCTGCAGTTAGTGTTAACCAGACATTGAGAAACTGGCCGAATTCAGAACCTGATTGAAGAATGCCCTATCTCAGAATTCAGTTCAAAAATGCCCTATCTCAGCACATTTTCAATATATTTTCATTTGGGATAGGGCGTTTTCGAACCAAATTCTGAGATAGAGGTTTTTTCAATACAATTATGAAATAGGGCGTTCTTGAAAAGTTTTCTGAGATAGGGCGTTTCGAACTGGCTGCCGAGATAGGTCGATCTTCCACTCAGGTGTCGATATACTTCCATAGTAAAAATTAATTCATATTTTGTTCTAGTGAGATACTGGTAATCGATACAGTTATGAAATTTTTTACACAAAATAGAAGAAGAGGTGACGGTGGTGCGTACTTAACTCAATATTTGTATTTTTTTGGATTATGACACTTCTTCTTCTTCTTATTTGGCACTGTAACCGACTAAGCAATTTTGGCCGAGTTCAACAAAGCACGCCAGTCGTTTCTTTTCTGTGCCAACTGGCGTCAATTGGAAATGACAAGTGAAGCCAAGTCCATCTCCACCTGGTCTTTCCATCTCAGTGGGGACCTTCTTCATCCTCTGCTACCACCAGCGGATTCCGAGTTGAATACTTTCAGAGCTGGAGCGTCGGTGTCTATTCGAACGACATGACCAAGCCAGCGAAGCCGCCGCATTTTAATTCGCTGCACTATGTCCATGTCGTTGTAAAGCTCATACAGCTCATCGTTGCATCGTCTGCTATACTCGTCGTCGCCAACGTCCGTAAATCTTCCGCCTCATCGGATGTTATCATTGTCCATGCTTCTGCGCCATATACCAGCACGGGCATGATGAGTTACTTATAGTGTGTGGTTTTCGTACGTCGAGAGATGACTTTACTCCTGAACTGCCTACTCAGTCCAAAGTAGCACTTGTTGGCAAGAGTGATTCTACGTTGGATTTCAGGGGTTTGACTACTTTAAATTTGTGTGTTTTTTTTTTTTTAATTTTTTTAGTGAGCAGATAGAAAAAGCTTTGAATTTTTTTAAAATTTTGCTGCAGAGTCTAATGAAAAATTATTCACACAATTTCACATTTTCCCATTAAGGAAAAAAGTAATTTTAAATAATGTTCTAGAATTACATAGCCATTAAATATTCTGTTATGCGACAGACTGCGTACGAGTAGATACTTACGAGTCAGGCAATCGTTGCAATTACACAGACACGCAGTGATAAGAACAGCCTGTACTTAAGTGTTCGAACATATATACAAATACACACTAGGGGTATTCACGATCCGGTGCATACTGTCAAGAATGGTGCATGAATAGCATAAATAGCATGATTGTCTAATTTTGTTGCTGTATATGGGTGTTTACATACGTCATATACATACGTGACAGTCGTACGTTTCAATGAGATACAACCAATCCTTGTATAGCACACACGTGACGGTGCGTCACGTGGCATAAATCTCCATCGTTATATTTTTGTTAATATTGATTTTAAATTAATTTTGAACGCAAATAAAACATGCATTTTATGTCAAATATACTTTATATTTTGACTGCAGCGCCAATTCAGAGATCGTGACTACCCCAATTCATACAAGCATACTACGTGCTATGCACTTGCATGTAGACGACATTTTGCAACATCAGTCAAGTTAATTGCAATTGCAACAATTTTATGCCATTTAATAATTTTCAATGAAGCGAATTAGGTGCGTGCTGCATGAAATTGGTCACATATACATAGTATATGTATGTATGTATGTATGTGTACAAGCCTACAAGGGCTAGTACCGTTTCAAGAAATCTAAAAAAAAAAACTGAGAAGTCTAATTAAAAATTTGCAAATTTCAACTTGCATGAGTAACAATTTCAAGATATTAAAAGCAATAAACGAATATTCCAGTCCATTATAAAGGGCAGCTGCATATCATCTTTCGCTGTATGGCAAAAACAACTGCACATTTTCTGCATTGCTACGAATAAAAAAAATTTCGTGAGTGAATAAAACAGAAATCTCGAAAGCACAAAATACACGTTTTTCAACAATTCTGTCAGCTTTCAACTCTTATTTTTTATCACTTGCAGCAGTCTTCTTTATTAGCCGATTATATAACACCTTACACAGCTCCATGCGGCTTTTGTGTCTGTCCGGAAAAGCAAAGCACACATATGTACATACATATGCTTTGCAATGATAAGAAAGTCTATATGTAAATACATACATACATATGCGGAATGTAAAATCCCTACATTTACTTTTGCCAGACACGCTGAGAGTGTAGAGAAAATGTTGACTAGTGCCCATCATGCTCCACTTTGCATTACCCGTTTGTGTGTGTGTGTGTGTTTAAAATACAGGAGGCACGTCTCGACGTCATCACGAAAAAAAAAATATAAAAAATCACTGGGCTACACAGATGTGTCTTAACCGCACTTATTTTTAAGTAGATATACTTAGATTCTTGTCTTGTTACAACCTACAACCAAATTTAAATTAATATATATATTGCAAAAAAATCTAAAAATTTCCCTAGCTTTCTATGTACATACATATGTATGTATGTACCTTCTTGCAGGTAAAAAAATGCCAGCCGCGTATTTGTTCAAGTTTTTTTAATTCAATGCACTCAGTTCGCTTACCCTGATGTTGGTCATTGTTGTTGCTGTCACACGCTAAATAAAATTATAAATTCAGCAAAAAAACTGCTTAAAAATACTGCGGCGATGTGTTTGGCTCTTAACCCTTAAGTACAGCGCTGCCTTATCCAAAATATATATTTTTTGAAATAAATCTTTTTTCAGCTCCACTGGAGATATTAACAGACGATGTGTATGGTTGGAGAGCAAAACTTCAACTGAATTTCAGAACCGCGCGTAGTGGCTGCAGGAGTCGTTGCCGGTTGGCAATCATCGTCCACAGTGGTTGTCGTCGTCGAAAATAAATGGAAGGTGGTGGAGAAACACAACAACTTAGCACAGACATTAATACATGCATATATACGTATGTATATGTTTATACATACATATGTACCTAAGCAAAGGTACCTACAAAAGCAGCTACCTAAGTATACTTAGATACTTATGGATGTGTGTAAATATTTCTTAAATTTATAAAACCAACAGCGGCAAGAACAAGCCCCCGCCCGCCAGCGTGTTAAAAAAACGTTCGTGAGCAACAACAATAATAGCCACAACAAATAAAAAAATTATAAAAAATAAAAACTATAATAACAAAACAGCAAACCAACTCAGCAACAACAATAGCAGCAATCAAAAGAGGGAAGTTACAATAATAACAACAAAGTTTTGATAACAGCCATAAGCATGAACGATTTGCTTACTCGTAATAAGAGCGAACCGGCTAATACAAAGTGTCTGTGAACAGGGTTGCCACCTTCACTTAAACCGTGCCACTTTTGGCACTATTTTACTGAAGTGAATTTAATTTTTCAATTTGGCACATAGTGCCAAAATGGCCTTTTTGAAAAATAATAATATTTCAATAATTTTTTTTGAATTTTTTGCGTGTACCTTTTTGCTCAACTAAAATTTTCTAATTTCAATAGTGTATATAACTGGTTTATGTTACCTTGGCATTGGAGTTTTGTTTTACGAATGCTTTTTTAATTTAAATGCTAAATGGGAAAAGTTAAAAAAATTGCACCTTTTTTGGAACTTTTATTTTTCCAGTTGGCACATTTTGGCACTTTTTTATCCTCAATATGGCACTTCAAAGCTAAGTATAGTTGGCAGCCCTGCCTATGAAGTCTCTCCTATATGGGCGCTACAGTCGGCAAATCGGAGTTTGGAGTAAGTCACAACAGATAAATATCCATCCACTATGAACATATTTATATTTTTAACATTTTTCGAAATTAGTCTCGTAAAGCGGATCCTAATGAATCCTGATTGTGATTTCAAAATATGAAAAAGAGCTGATCGGCTTCCTAACCTAAGTTATTACAGATTCTTGATTTACCTAACCTACAAGGGTTAACTAGACCTGCAGGCCTTCTTCTTTCGGCTCGTAGACCTATGCCTGAGCCAAATCATTTGATATTTACATACATACACATTTTAGCACATTATTTTGCCACTTCTTACTCTTGGTAAATATCTTCGCGTTTGTGTATCTGAGAACTTATGAAAAGTATTTTTTAAATAGGCCCAAAATATATAGATCAGGTTTTAAAAACAGTTTTATTGGTGTTCCTTCAGCCGACAGAGTTATCAACACTGTGTGTCCAAATTCGAGTTGAGTTCTGTAGTCCTATTATCTTATCAGCCTTCGAATAGAGATGGAATATTTCCATAATATGACATTTTCTCAATACCCGGTATTCTCCTTTAAATTGTTATTATTTTAAGGCCATAGTACACTGAGCAACATCTGAAGTGCTCTATTCTGCTTGGCCATTAGCCTATATCTGAAAGCTTTTGATGTAGTCTAATGCTTCATGGGCTTTTCATTCCAAAATTCAAGTGAACGCTTCCTAGTTGATCGACAGAGACAGATTCGAGGTGGAAATTAGTTCCCCATATAATACCCAGTGGGAGTTCGAAAGACCTCGCAGCTTAGATTAATAAACCTCTTTTAACGGACTTCCTTAACGGACTGCCTTGTACAATTAATCTAGTGCTTTAAAGCTTTTTGTCTACCCAGTTGTTTATGAGCTTCCTTGTGTGTGCTTAGGTTAACACACAAAAGTTAAGGCGATCCCCCTGTCGATTATCATCATGTCCCTCATGTATGGTATCCAGCCTAGTAATACCGTGCTTTTGCTCCAAGAGTGTTTAGGTTACTGAAGCAAATACCAGTTTTGATGTTACATATTTTGTGGGACTTTAAAGTTAGAAAATCGGCATGAAAAGTAAATACATACATATGATGATTTATTTTGGAACGAATTTCCGTCATCCCTTGTCAAGTTTGGTTTGCAGAACGAAAAATGACACTGAAGAAGGCACAATGCCGAAACCGGTTTGTCTGCAAACCAAACTTGACAAGGGATGACGGAAATTCGTTCCAAAATAAATCATCTTACCACCCTGTCGGAAAAATCAACCAACACCAACACACATACATATAAAGTAAAAACCCTGCAAACCATTTTTTCAGAGTATTCTGAATCGTAAAGAATTTTTAAAGAAACAACAACAACCAAAAAGGAAATTTTTAAAGAATTCGGAAAGATCCCATCCGATTTTTTGCCGAATTTTCTAAAATGAAATAAATTACGCACACTTCCATTCTTTTACGAAATTTCGGAAGAAAATCGGTAAAGAAATGAAAATAATGCTGCTATGTGAAGAATTTCTTGCAGACTTTTTTCAGAATTTTCTTTATTTTTCGTACAGAAATTTCTTTACGAGTTCGTGTCAACCACTTCATATAATTTTCTTTGAAGATTCGGAAAAAAATCGCTACAGAAATCAGATACTCCTAAAGATTTCGTTAAGATTTCGGGAACTTTGGTTTGCAGGGAAGGGGCTCATTGAATGAAAAAAATTGAAATTGTAAACTCAGCAAAAATAGGCAGCCTTTCCTGTCCAAGCTTAGAAGAGACATCTATATACGAGTGCTTCAGAAGACAATGGCAAACCTTCGAGTGAATATGTTTCGCCAAGAAGGTGCTTTTAGAAACCATGTGCCATAAAAATCCCTAACTATTTTACATATCGAGGGCTTTTATTCAATACCCTCGATCTGCAATTTTCACAAAAACTACATTGTGATATTAAAAACCATCTGGGACTTACCTGTTATCACTGATAGTAATTCTGACTTTACAATTTAATAATAGATTCTTCTGTCAAGCGTTATACAGTTTAGCATTAATATCACCGATGATAGTTAAGATTTAGGCGGATTTTTATACTCGAATATCAGTTTTGTAAGAAAATCCTTTTAAACTGTAATTAGAAAAGATTTTAAATGTTATCAATCTGATGAGTGTTATCGTTTAGCTGTATCTAATAGTAGCACTTTTTATAAAAAAATATAAGTTTTTGAGCAAGTAGTATAGTTTTTTTTTTTGGTTTGAATTGGGGAAAAAATCACTGGTCTTTTTTGGACTTTTTAAAAATATTGTCTTAAGTCTAGAGTTAGATTGCAGCTGCACCATTCGTGAGCGGCTTTTCAGGCTTTAAATGATTTTTCAGCTTATGAAATTATAGAGCGTGTCGTTTTCTTATTCAAATACTTTTAAAAATGCCACATATTGGCTCAATTTACCGATCTACAGCCTCGGATTATTCACGAAAATTGATGATCAGACCCTGATGACACTGATCTGAACACTGACGGTGTAGCGCCTTTGACAGTCGACCATTGCCCACATTTAATTACACTATTTATCGAATAAAAAACCGGCGCGTATGTGCGTTTTGTTTGCAATATATGTACGAGTATTTTACTTTCAGTTGTTTCAGAAAATGTTGAGCCACAGCAAGTAATCTTGTACGATTATGCTAATACCATTGTTGTAAAGCTTTCGGACATATACCTACCTACATACATACTACACATCGTCGGTGATACTGCAAAACGGTCTATGTCTATTAGTACTCTTGACACTTAGATGGTCTCTTACTTGCACCGGAATGTATCTGCAAATCGTAACACCCCAATAAACGAATGACAAAACTGTCTGCCTTTGCCTGATGAAGATGAACTATTGTCAGAAGCGATCAGATACAGTTAACATATCAATTAAGCACCAGAGGTAATAAGTGACTTAGAACGTTTTGCAGTATCACCGACGATATGTACAAGCGCTCATTAGGGTGCCACACTAGAAAAATTTATTGCTTTTCGCTAAGGCTGTGGTTATGCCACCAATTTTGATTTCCAATTAAAAGAGAAAAATTTCGGTAATTGGTGAGACATCTAGTCTGTTCCTTTGAACTTCGGACTAAAACCTGTGGAACTGTCAAACTACAATTTTACGTTCTCAAATGAAAGTAAAAGGAGAACAGATGCAGAAGTGCATAGGAACGCAAAAAGCACTATTTCCTGTAAAAACGCCAGTCGGTTTGTTTACATGTCATTAGTACAACACTGATTTGGCTGAAATATCACCAATAATTATTAAAATCTATACATATTCAAAGATTTCTTTGTTTTCTTCCATTTTTTTTTACAAATATAAGGTTCTTTGCTTTCACCGCTTTCTGTTTTTGTTTGCACATGCAAATCAGCTGATCGTTTGACACTTTTCATGAACTTACAGGAAAAAAAACTCCGGACTAAATCCTGTAACTTCTGACTAGGAACAGTTGCTCAGTTACTCTCTCAAATGTGTTCCCACTTACAGGTTTTATGTCAATAGGAACGACTTCCTGTAAGTTCTGACCAAATCCTGTAAACCGGACTGCTATTGGAACAGACTAATCTGTTTGCTGATTGGCGAACACAGGGCTATTTTTTAAGAAATACATTTTTCCTATTCATTCGATTTCGCACACCATGTCAGCGCTAATGTAAAAGTGGAACTAAAAGCGTATAAAAATTTAAGTCGGTAAACGAAAAATAGAAGAACGACTTAATACTTTTAATTTTTTAATTTTTATTATATTTTATTATATTTTATACAATATTTATTTTATAATATTGATATAAAAACATTTTTTTAATATTTAATACTAATACCTTTTAGCAAAATAGTATATTGTCACCCTGAATGATTTGCGTGCTGTCTGTTCGGTTCACCTAGCAAATCATGCTGGCTGTTCGAGTTCAAAATATCTCTCGCTCCGTGCTGAGCATAACCACATGTGCCTGCCATAAGAGCCTATCAGTTACGTTAAGTTGCCATAATCAGACCATAAGCGAAAGACAAAATGATTTAACTTTGGCAG